TATTATCTGTAACGTGCAATACAATTCAGAAAGGTTAAAAATGTACGGTCTATAACGTGTAGTACAATTCAAAAAGGTAAAAAATACAGAATACAATCCTACAAAGATAAACGACTTCTTAAAAGACCATCAGAAAAAAAAAATGAACTGACAATTGAACCGAATAATAAAAAGAATACGAGTGGGAGCAGCTTAGACTTTGTCAATGGTAGCCAAAAAAAATAGTAAAATCTGTAACTTAGTCCATATTTTCTTTTTCTGGCCATTCAAACTACTACCATTCTAATTTGTGGAATTGAATTTGGTGATCAAGTGAAATGTTCTGCCACCAAAGAAGAGGAATATGGTTTATATTGTTGGCGGCAAAGTAAGAAAAATATTTAGTATAAAATTAGTCAACAACGGTTAAAAGTCTAAAATTGCAACAACAAATTGAAAAGTATTAAAATTGAGGCAAAAAGTATTAAAACTGAGGCAAGCTCTAAGCCATATTTCTCTTCAACATTTCTTTTGAACAATGTGCTGTTGACTTCTCCCCCACAATACTCAAAAAATTTAATAATCTGAAAACAACATTCCAATACAATGACTATCATAAACCAATGGCATGTTTGGTCTTACAAGGTTTACACAAAAGTTGATTAAGTGAAACACGGTCAAAAACACAATAAGTAACCAGCCCAACAAAAGCACAGAAACAAAAACGCGAACCAAACATTCCTTAATAGTTAAAAATTTTAAAATATTCCTACTCAATTTTTTAAAATGTTCCCCTTCACATTTTTACCTCACTAATTTCTCTATTGGATATTTGCTAATTTATATTATTACTTAAAGTTTTAGTTAAAATTTTAAAAGTGCCCCCCACTTCAAAAAAAAAAATTTAATTTGTCCACAATTTTTTTTTTTAATTCTGCGATGGCTCCCCTCAAAAAAAATCCTGGGTTCTGGACACTGTTTTGCTTCAATATGAAAAACAAATGGCAACTAAAAAGGTATGTTGCTGCTAATAATTTATTTGGCAAAAAGAAAATAAAAATTATATTCATATATTGTATTATCACATAGAAAGTAACATGGAAATTAAATATAAAACTAATATGGCAATCATTTTTTCTTTTTGCTTTTTTTATTTTTATTTTTTATAAATGGACAAAAGTAAGAAAAGTATCATAAGATTAAGACAGTATAGTATAACTAGGAAGACAGAGACATGGAATGCAGAGGCATCTAAGAGATAAAAGAGAATCACTTACCCAAAAAAAACATAAATAATAAAGGAGAACCCAGAAACGTGGCTTTCGTTTTCTAATTAAGAAGATGGTCTTTCAATTTCTTCTACTTCTGTACTCTTGATCAACATGTCCAGCTTCTTCAATAATAATAATAATAATATTAAATTCTTAAAAAATTAAATAAATCTCTACTTTTTCTTCTATCTTTTAATTTTCATATGATAGTAAATTAATAGACCCAAACATACATCATACATGCTTATATAACATATACTAAATAGTGGCTTTTGCATACTCAACTTGAAAAAGAAATTGTTATGTTATGAGATTTACATGTAGACTTTGTGATTATGTGTGGAAAATGTGATTATTTCTTCATTTTGTTTATAGTTGAGCCGAAATCGGGATAGTATAAAAAGAGAGTTGTTGGAGAAAATTCATAGATAATCAAAATAACCGAATGAATGTTAGGAATGTTGTCATGCTCTTCTTATTGTTCTCCTACCATATGGTCCCAAACTGCACCATCATGGAGTCATGTCGTAAGTTCAGGCCCACAGTAGATATTTTATTATATTGTCTTGTTTGATTTGAAATTTTGAATCGGGTGATTTTCAAAAACTATTTAAAAAAATTATTTAAAAAAAATTGGGAGAGAAGGGTACGATTATCGTGTATTCATATTAGCCTTGGGTATAATCCGTATGAAAAGTTAGTCATTCCAAATAAAATTGCAATTATCGTGTATTCATGTCAGCCCTAAGTACATTGATTCCATCAAATCTAAAAGTTAGTCATGTTTTCAAACTTTGCGCGTTTTTACCTTCGCTCCTATTCTCAATCACTCTAGCTCTTGCACGCATTCTCAATTGGTATGATTTAGAATATGCCTCCTCAAATATATAGTACATCAAATATATATTTGTGTGTAAGAAGCAAGTATAAATAGGAATGCACATGTTTTGGTTTTTTCTCATTTTTCATTTTTTAAAATTATTATATAAGACCCGAAATGTTGCAAGTAATCAGTTTGGTTCAATTCAATTATATAATTTTGTATTAAATATGTGTGTGTGTTTGAACGCCCTTTCCCGTCCAGCGGTTGGGTTGTTCCACGTAATCCTTGGGAGCCCGACTTTGAGTCTTCACATCTCTAACTTTAGCTTGTAAATGTATCGGATTCAATAATTCGAAAATCCGACTTCAATAAGCTAAAGTTAACCCTCCTCAAATCACTTTTCTGCAAATCTAACATAAAGTTATTGTAATGTAATTGTTTTGTTCTTTCACCCTTTCGGAAATGCTCTAATGGTGTTTATTATCTATATTTACTTTATATAAGGGTGTTAATTGCACGACAATCCTATTTAATCCACTTTTGAGTTAGCTTTTTTCTCTCTCTATAGCTTTTTTTCTCTCTCTGTCTGTCTCTCTCTCTCTCTCTCTCTCTATATATATATATATATTCTTCTACAACTTGTTCTCTTACTATATTTCCTCTATAGCAGTGTATTCTTTCACTTGAAGCTTTCACTCTCTACAAATATCCTCTCATGGTTAACCTTATTAAGAAATTATTCTTAATTTAATGTGTTAGGTGGAACTTCTTTGCATATTTTTTTCGAATTTAAGGTGTTTTGTGTACATGAAAGGGTGATATGACGGTAAGAATATTACAAGGATGTTAAGTGCACTTTACTCTTTTTATAAAATATGTGAAAATTGTGTATATAAGGGTAATTTGGTTAATGTACTATTTTAATGTGGCATGTGAAACTCATTTGCACATTTTTTTTTTTTTTTAAGAGAAATGATAGATCTTTCGATTTTAATTGCCGACTTCTCCTTCGAATACAACGTGATTGGATCAAGTTGGAACTTTTAAAAAAATATCCGTAAACATCTTTTACTCTTCAACTCATTCCCAACCACGTTGTATTCGGAGGAGGAATCGATAATTGAAGTCTGAAGACCTATCATTTCTTTTTTAAAAATTGAGTGTTTCAAGGGGGTTGATATGCCATGTAAAGATATCACAAAGGTGTTAAGCACCTTTACCCTATTATATATTCCGTACAACATAATAGGGTAAAATGTAAAAAAAATATTCCTTGAACTATTATCTTTTTACAAATAATTTATCTGAACTAAAAGTTACACCTCAACTATTAATTTGTTGTAATTAAAGACAAATCAATCATAAAATACTATTTTACCCTTTCTCATTAAATTTGTCATTTCTTATTAAATTATTTTTATTATATTTTCTCTTATCTAAATATTAATTATACTATTTACCTTAATTTTATTATTAGTATCAATTTATCATAAAAAATAAAAAATAAAAAATAAATAAATTTGTAACTACTATTTTAAAAAATGAATAACTTGTTATTAAAATTTTATTATTTATAATAAAACTTATTATACCGAGTTTAAACTATGTTACCGTTGAAAAATACCTTCTTTTTCATGTAATATATTCATAAAAATAAATAAAATAAATTTAAAATTTTATACTTAAATTTTTATTTAAGTAATTTATTTTAAAAATTAAAGGTAAATATATACAAATTTAATGAGAATATATCGTCAAATTAGTATGAATGTTTTTTTATAATTTATTTAAATAAGAAAAATAGATTAACTATAATTCAATATTTAGAAAATACATTATGGTTATTTAATGAAATATAACAAAATATAGTTCATGGATGTTTGCAAATTTAAACATAATTTAATATAATATTTATGTCCTTTTAAGTTTGAATATGAAACTCAACTGTAATCAACTATTACCTTCGTCTTATATTAGATGTCCAGAAAATTTTAATTCTTTTACTCAGTGAGTCAAAATTTTTGAGGTGGATATAAGTATAAAAGGAATACGACTAAAAATGACCTTAAATGACTCAAAGATAAAAGATAGTAGTAAGTCAAAGTTTTCGATGTGGACAACTAACGTGAGACAAAGGGATTATTTATAATTGAACCGCGCAAGTGACTGTCCATTTACAGTCGCAGTTATGATTGGTTAGTTTTAAATACATTAATTACTTTTGAGTAATATCCTTTTAAATTATGTCTTTCTTCTCCTTATTTCCTCTTTAATGGATTCATATGATGTGAATGGATGCTGAAAAAAAAAAAAAAAAAAAAAGAAGAAAAGAATCTGAATAAAGAAAACAAAAAAAAAACAAGATAGATTATGAGATTTTAAAATATATATATACAAAATTAGTTTTATATACGTATATATTTCTTTTTTGGTGAATGAATTATTTCCTTTTCTTTTATTTCCTTTTTTTTTATAATTCATTCATACAAGGATAGTTGAAAAAATAATAAATAAAAAAAGAAACATATATATATATATAGGAAAAAAACAAAAAAGGAAGAAATATTTAATCGATTTTTTTTTTTACCTTTCTTTTTATTCTTTTTGGATGTTTGTCTCTCTCTTTTTTTTCTTTTCTTCTTCCTTTTATTTTTTTCCCGAATCCATCCATCTCTTGTGAATGAATTATTCTATTCACATAAGAGAAAAAAGAAGGAAGATTAGAATTTAAAAGAATATTTTTGTCTAAAAAGTAATGTTAGTAGAGCTCCATAAAATTAGAAATTCAAAATAATTAATGCATTTAAAACTAATTAATCTTAACTGCGATTGTGAATAACAGTCGCGCAACTAGCAACCCTCTTGTTTTTTTTAGCACACCTGGTAAAGATTAGTAACATTTACTGCATGAATAGAGGCATAAAACAGATTTCAAAGTATATAATAATATATATATATATATTTGAATTGGATTGAAAATGAGTACTTCATTACTTCAACCATGTAGATAGAGTGGAATTAACTGTTCAACCATCAAGAACAGAGCAACAACTTTCCGATTGAACGAGCACAGAGGGAGGAGTTGGAGAAGATGTCAGTGACCTCGGAGAATCCAGACTTCGCCGGAAAAGCTGCTTCATGGCGGAGATGAGGTCCTCCGTAGGATTGGCCGGAGGACTAGAAAATCTGAACTTGGTGCAGAAGCTCACGTGCCGATTCAGTGCTTCTTCGGTGCCGATTGGTCTCTCCGACCTCACAATCTCGTCTTCCACTGCCTCCGAACAGAGTCCGCATATCCAACGGCCTTCATACCTTGCGCGAACGCCGGATATGTACGCCGGAGTACACTCCTCCGTCAATCCACAGCACTCGCATTTCGCAAAATCAATGTCACTCTCACCAGTACTTTTCTGTGTGGCCACTGATTGAAACTCCATATATATGAGAATCTGATGAATTCGTATTTCTTGAATCACACAATTCAAATGCTACAATTCGTTTTCAATTTAAGTGAAATTGCCTCCAGATTTATCTTTCCTTTTCCCACTGGCTTACTTCTTCTGCAATCTCTCTTGTCACTCAACAAGAGAACTAGAATATATCAAATACATCTCATAGTATATCTAACTTTTTTTATGTGATTCTCTGTATATATACATATATATATATATATATTTATATATCTATATGAAGATGTGAACTGAGTAGCGGAGCAGAGAGAAGACGGAGATATATATATAGATCTTGTAGATAGAGGGATGTAAAAATCCTCTAATTTGTTAAGCAGGGTGATTTAGCTGGTGGTGATTGAAAAATGAGGGTCATTGCCTTTGCCAGCTGTCTCTTGTACTACTACTCTTTTTCGTAAGTGGTCCGATGAAACATGCTTTTTGGATGCTTCACACGTGCATTTTGAAGACGTGTTTTTTAAGATTGTAATAAAACTGGCATGGATTTTTCTACTCAGTTAGCTGCACGATATTTCATTATTCCATGCCATCCATGACATTGTATAATTAAAGGATATTACCCCCCAAAAAAAAAAAACTTAGATCCTTTCATGTGCGAAATGTGACGTGTCACCTAATTTTTACAACAGTGGTGCTACACATCTCGATTTAAAATAAGAGATGTGATTTTAAATTTGATGTAATAAATTATAAAATTATTCTATAAAATATAATTAGCAAAACTCTAAAATTATCAATGAACATAAAATTGATATGAGGTAAAAGAAATAAAAATAATAATTATTAATTAAACTTTTCAATAAAAATTCAATTATTAATGGATGTATTTTTAAACTTCTAAAATAAATATCAAAATCAAGACTATTTTTTTATATAATGGATGTATTTTTAAACTTCTAAAATAAATATCAAAATCAAGACTATTTTTTTATATATTACAATTCACTAATAATTATTTTAGTAATGAATAATATTTAACAAGTCAATTAATATAATTATTGAATATTTTATTTATCTATACTAAGACTAAGTATTTATTTTATATCTTTTTTTGCCTAATCAGAGAGATTAAATTATTTATATTCTTTATATATTCTTATGTAATTAAATTTTTTATTAAAATTTTTCATAATAAATAGGCAATTTGAGTTCTATAGAAACTTTTGAAACATTTGAAACACACTTGCGATGTCCGTGAGTGAAAGTGTTTGTATATATTTTCTTTATATTTATTGAAATTAATAATATTATATAAAATATAATAGAAATTATTATTTTTATGTATATTTATTGAATTAAATAATATTATAAAAATAAAAAATATTATTAAAAATTTAAATAAAAGAATAAATTTTTGTATAGAATTCTTTAAAAATTAAATTATATTTTTACTATTATTATTAAAATTTAGGGTTAATTACACTGATCCCCCTAATTTTGGTCAAATATCACATTGAAAATAATTATTACTCACACTATAAACGTTTAGTTTGTTTTTCACTCGTACCCCAAAAATTACTTTTTAAATATGTCAGACCATTTTTTACATGTTAAAATATATTATTACCCCTTTAACTTTGTGTTGACTTATTAAAAGACTATTTGATTTATAAAATGACATTTTTACCCAATTGGACCCATGTTAAGTGACTAAAATAACCATTGGAATATGTGTATGTATGTACAGTGACGGACCCAGAAAATTTGGTGAGGGGGGGCGAATTTTTAATTTGTGGGTACAAAATTATATGATGGGTTCATTTTTGTAATTTTAATAGGGTTTTTTTTCATAAATTTTAAAAAAATTTAAGTATAAAATGAAAAAAAAAAAATTCAGTGGGGCAAATTATAATTATAGTGGGGCATCTTCATAAATTATCAAAATTTCAAGTATAAAATGCTAAAAAAAAAAGAATCCAGTGGGGGCGAATTGTAATTTTAGGGGGGCATTTTCATAAATTTTAAAAACATTAAAGTATAAAATGAAAATATTAAAAATTCAGGGGGGGCAGATGCCCCCCCTAGTCCCCTGCTGGGTCCGTCCCTGTGTATGTATGTGTATATATATATATATAAATACACATATATATATATAATTTTACAAAAATTTCAACAAAATTCAAAAAATAGATAAATAATTAAACAAAATTGCTGAACTAATTATTAAAAAATATAGTTTATAATTATAGTTTTGTTATAAAATAGATAAATTCAACAAAATTCATATAATTATAACAAAACTAAAAATATAGTTTTGTTGAAAAATAGATAAATTCAACAAAAACCAGAAAATGGATAACAAACTTGGAGTTTATATATATATATATATATATAGGTGTCGGTGTTGTTTGATAATTGATGCAGGTAATTTCGTCCTTATATAATTATGATTTTTTAGATTAAAAGGTATTGAAAATTGAGGACAAAAATGTCATTCCACACCCATTTTCGTAGTGTTAATGACGAAAAAGTGATTTGGGGGTGTGAGTGATAGTAATTTTTGAAAAATATTTTATTGTGATATTTGGCCAAATCTAAAAAGATGTCGGTAAAATTAACCCTAAAATTTAAATTTAAAACCAAATGCAAAACGTAAAACCAAATGCTTTATTTACATACCAATCAAGTTAGTTTGAGAAACTGACCTCAATTGATTGCCCCGAGAAGTCCGCAAATGATTAAAAAATAATAATAATAATAATAATAACAATAAGATAACTTTTTTTTTTTTTTTTTGGGAAACAGGAACTCTCCTGGGCAGGGCCCCTTAGGGACCCACCCCAAGTTACAAACATGTGCCACGCGTACCGGCCCCTCAACACGCGCAGCAGTCAATTGAGAGGAATAGATGGCTTGGGAAGAGTCGAACACCGACCATTTCAAACCTGCCTCCAAGCTCCAACCATCACAGCAATACCCCCGGGGGCAAGACAACTTATTCTTGGCTATACATGATATATAGAGTATCTCAAAACAGTTCAAATTCATCCAAATTAATCAGAATTATTAAGAATCAACATTGTAATTATTCGATTTGGGTTTTAATTAATAAAACTATTTTTAACCTAATATTATCTAGGATTATTTAACTTCTTTCTATTAAACTAATTCAAATTAAGTTTATCATGCAATTTCTTTAAATTAAAGTCAAAAATTCAATTTTTATTTGCAAACTTAATTTTTAAAATAAAAAAAAAAACTAAAATGCCCTTAAAATTTAACCCAACATCATTCAATTAAATTTAATCACTTTTTTTAACATTTCTCTTTAAAAAAATTTAAATATTTGGATTCAAAATAAAACTTGGACATGTAGTTACCTATTCTTGCTGAGTCGTTATTGTAGTTCAAACAAGTTCAATTCAGAATCAAGTCCAACCCAGACACCAAAAACATTGAAACCCGATATATGGCTCAAAACAATAAATTAAGATTGAATCAAAAATTAAAAAAACTAGAAAAAAAATATAATATCAAAATTTTTCAGCAACGAATTCAATTCAAAATCAAGTCCAACCCAAACACAAAATACAATAAAACCCCTACTCAAAATAATAAATTAAGAATAAACCAAAAATAAAAAATAAAAACTGGAGAAAAAAATTACAATCCAAAGTAAACTTACAAAGAGTAAAATAAAAAATAAAAACTGGAGAAAAAAATTACAATTCAAAGTAAACTTACAAAGAGTAAAATAAAAATAAAAATAAAAACTAAAGAAAAAAAAAGAATAATGATTCTTCTAAAAAAATAAAAACTAAAGAAAAAAAAATAACAATAATGACTCAAAATAATAATAAATTAAGAATGAACCAAAAAAAAAAATGAAAAAAAAAAAAAATCACAATCCAATGTAAACTTACCAAATCAACCACCAATAAGCATCAATTAGAAAAAGAAAAACAAATAAAAAAATAATAATAATAATGCTTCTAAAAAGAAAAAGTAAAGAAAAAAAATATTAACAATCCAAGTTAACAACTTATAATAAATAGGTAATTTGTGTTAATTACATATAAACCATTCTACTACCGAATATCCATAAGTAGTCCCAGAAAAGTTTATCCCACCCGAGTCTTACTTATATTTTATATTGAGTAACCAATTTAATTGTTATGATCACTGAATTAAATTATTTTATAAAATAATTTTACAAAATAATTATTTTTCTAAATAAATAATAGAAAATTAATTTAGTAAACATTTTATTAAAATGCCCTAACTAGGTTCTAATGATCAAACTTAATAAATTGCGGGGATATTGTAACTCTTATAGAGTATGAATTTCATGTTGATCATTTGTGTTGTCAGAACTCTAACATTAGCCACCCAAGATACCGTAGTATAAACTTTAAAAGGTAAGACTAAGTGACTAGTACTGAAACTTGAGTTCACTAAACTTCTCAGGATTTAGAGCTCAATGCGACTAGACTTGAAATTCAGAGAAAGAATATAAGAATTAAAAACTCTATTCGATAATTCATTGATGGTGTTACATCCAATTTATAAAATAGGATTGATAAGCGCCGAATATTGCATATTCAAGCGCCCTTAATTGCATTAGTTAAGTCCATTATTCGTTTAATTATGTAGATTACTTTCATTTGTATGTTTTTGTGCATTTTCAGGTTCAATTGTAATAAAGGAGCAAGAAGGATGTTTTGTAGAGTTTTTGAATATCAAGGTGCCAATTCTGATATTCTGGCAGCAGTGAAGCCCGAACTTTGTTAGCCATTTTGACCTACCAAACTCGAGAACTGGATTTCCCTCATAACATAAAAGATTTAGAGCTCTGAATCAGCTTTCCAAATCTTTAAGCGGTTCATCATTCGGAGTTTGGAGCAGAGAGTTATGATCTTCTTATTAGAGGTGCTCAGAACTGCCTGGCAGCAATGAAAGTCTGCCTTGTTCTTCAATTTCGACCAACCAGACTTGAGAATTGGATCTCCACCAAAACATAAAGTTTTTAGAGCTCTGAATTAGCTTTCCAAATCTTCAAACGGTTTGTCATTCGGAGTTCGGAGCACAAAGTTATAGCCATTTTACAAAAGTATATCCGGGCGAAACAAAGCAAGCATGGAGCAATCTGCTCCAATTTCGAGTGCTCGAGGCCTTGCTTCAAGTGCTCGAAATTCAGGTAGAATTGCCTTCGGGAATTCTCAGTTTGGCAGCCACTTGTGCATTGGTTTCCTCATTTCTACTTACTTCTTTATGAGGTGGTTGGGGAAGTTTTTGGAAGGGAGAGAGAGGCCTTACCTATACAAAAGAAGAGAAGGGAGGCCACACATGATTAATCTCACTT